TAATCCCGAATAAAGCCGCAGAATCCAAGTGTTAGGGGCTCTGGCAGGTTTTACACAGACAGAAATCCCTTTCCTGAATAGTTTTGCTTCAGACTTAATTATTAAATACTTCTTTCTAGCAGTTGCTGTCTAACAGCAAACTTTTCTCACAGTCTTGTTAATGGCATTACTCAACCCGTAACAATGCCGACTCTATCTGAGATATTCCCACAGGTACCTTTTTAACTCGTCTGACAATAGCAGTATAGAGGACTTCTCCCTGCAGGCAACAGATCTGTTATTGTACAAATGAATGTTTATATGAAAATAGATTGTTCTTATTGTGACTAGGAGCCAGTGACCCTTGAATTTGAAACCTTGCTCTGAGATCTAGCCATGTTGGTCTTGGACAAGATATTTGATGTGTGTGCCTCAGCTATATTTTAGAGAAAGGAGAACTAATAACTATTGTGATTAGTCTGAAATGGCAACTCATGTGAGACACTAACTTTATGTTCACATGGTAACTAAACCGAACACTCACAGGTCGGGGAAGGAAGGATTGCATCCTTTAATGTTCTTTATTGTGATTTCCCTACCAAAAGTTAGTCTTGGTGTTCGGGGTGCGTTTCCTTCTGTCTCACCTTATGTTAGTCTTGCCTGCTGCAGAAACCTGGGGAGAGCCTTGGACGCAGCTGCAGCATCGTTCTGCTCCCGCCAGCGAAACTCTTGCAGTGGTGATAGCCGGAGAAGTGCCGCAGAGGAGCGGGATCTCTGTGCATGTAGCTGTTCGCTTTTGGTGGTTGTCAGGTATATCTTGACTGTTGGGTTTGCTCCAGGTTAACTGGACAAACACACCTGCACTCGCCATTATTTGCTGATGCTGGCACAGGATAAAATAGGGAAGGGACTTTATACAGGACAGATCCTTTAAAGTAGGTTTTCGTGTATGTATCGTTATGTTCCATATTTACCAATATGAAACTAGATAGGAGGCTTTATTATGTTGCAGGATCAGCAAAATTGCACATAACTGTAATTAAGTTGAAGACTTTAAAACGTGATTTTTGTAGGGGGGAAGTATGTTGTGTATCTTACAATACATCCATGTTTAATGAAGATACCCTACCAGTGCCTGTCCGTATCAATGTTATTTTAAATCCTTTAGTAAATACGGAGTTTATAATATTTAAAATAGTTAAAAATAAATTTAAACATATATATTTAATAAATTCTTTTCATACGATGTTTAACAACCGTAAGAGTCCAGAAAATGGATCAGTCTGTTGCTGCTCTTGCTTTTTTTCCCCTGCCGTGTCAGTTTGCACTCACTAGAGCACACCATTCAGATAGAGAGCAAGCGAGCTCTGGGAGTTGAATTTCTTGCCTTTTGATAACCTGTGCACTTTTTTAATTCCAGTCTTCTGTAATGTGCTCTTAGTATTTTTTTCTTTTTTTTTTTTTAAAGGAAAAGGCAGTTAGATGATCATGCTACTTGCCCATGTTTGTGGTTTTTTTTTTTTTTTTTTTAATTTATTCCTAGACTGTTTTAAACTCTCTTTAATAGTGGAGTGGAAACGAATAGCAGGATAAGAAATTCCTGCAGATTTTGTGAAATTTGCTGGATGGGTAGAGAAAAAAGAATATCTAAAAATAGCATCTGTGAGGGGAAGGCAGCAATCTGAGCTCAACTTACTTCATCTGGCCTGTTAGCCTGAGAAACATAACCCGGCAGTAGCCATAGAGGCAGAGTAAATGTCCCGGTGCTCCCGCAGAGCTAAAGGGCAAGGTGCTGAGTGAAAAGTACAATAGTAAGGGTAAGCATATAGCCATCCTTTTACTCTTTCACCTTCTAGCTGTTTTATGTGTCAGAAGTGGTGTTTAACCAGCCAGAGCTCGTGCTTGCTTTGTTCAGCCAGTGAACAGGGGATGCGCGGGGGCCAGGGAAGGAGAACGCCCGGGGCTGGGACATGCAGGGAGTGCAAGGTACAGGAGTCAAAAATGCGGACAGAGGACGTGAGATGGAGGAAAGACTGTTGCGGTGGTAGTTTCCATTGTGAGTTTACTTCCAAGATCGTTGGAAGTCTGTTTTTATTTGTTTACAGAGAAACTTTTCTTCACTCAGCACTTCTCTATATCGAAAGCAGCTGCTGATGTATCACATTGCTATAAAATACAGTCAGCTTAACTATAGGAAGCGTACTATCTGTTGTGTTTTTAAGAAAATGAAAGAAGGCATCCCAGACAATCATGTCAGCAAAACTCAATCTGTATTTTAGCTATATGACATCCTTTTGAACAAATCAGTTGCCGACTGGGAATTAGGAACCTGGGATGCTATATTTTCTTCTGCTGTACAAGCCTAGGTAAGCCAAGCAACCTGCCTTACTTTTCCTGAGGTAATAGTTTTGGTTGTGGAAGAGTCTTCGCATTATCACTGGGACAAAACTGAAACAGTTCCTAAAAGTTAACAACTTCCCTGTGGGAGCTATGATAGCGAGCATCTCTGGTTAACAAACGGTGTTATCTTCCATTTCCATGCAACTTAGGAGCCAAACAACGAAATTGCCCTGAGGTGTCTGTAGATTTAGGGAGACATGCTTGACCCCTGCTCCCTAGCAGGATCTGCCCTGCACTGGGACCTGTACTGATTTAGTTTCTCCAGTGGTTATATTGTCTTGTTTACAAAAAGGCATTTAAATGCTCTGCTTCTCCATAGCGCTGGTGGGGCACAGATTCTGTTCTTTTTGCCACTGTAGATACAGTCTTTCATTATCCTTTCTGTCATGGTTACTTGTGCATTGGTTTTTTTTTGTATTCCAGAAAATTAGGTGACTTGTGCCTTGTTGATGAGTCTCCAAGGAGTCCTTTGTCCCACTATTTGTTAAACTGAAGTGCTTGATACCTGGGAGTTGATTCTTCGGCTAGTGATTTCCCTTTGTTACTCCATAATGAGATATTTCTGGGTAGTTTTTGCATGAAAATCCAGTTGCCAAAACCTTGGGAAGTTTTTTTCCTAATTCAACTCTTTATTTGTAAGCTCTATAATTGCATTTTACTGCTCTCTGTCGAATCCATTGCCCTGGAATATATTGCACTCTCAAATGGCTTTAGGGAGAGACAAACCATGCGATGGTCTTAATATCTTTTTCCTCGCACTCACTGGCTGGTACCATCTTATGCTCTTAAATACTGTGTATCAACCTACTATATTTTGGCTTTGTGTGATTTAGCATTGGCAGATAAATAAGGAAGCCATTGAAATGTTTATGCTTTTTATTGACTTAAGGTGCTTTGGAGAGCAGCATTAATCTACAGTTCGGTGAAGCAGTAAGAAAATGAAATACTCCCTCAAGAATTTTCTTTTGTAGATAGAGCCTTGTATTAAGCTGCTGTGAACTGGCATGCTTTCAGATTTTTGAATGCACTGGTTTTCTCTTCATTAGTAATTATAGCTGAGGGTAATAACACTGGAATTGTCCTTCATTAGAAATAACAATAAGGCTTGATGATGTGGGTATGTGATGTGCTTTGGAAATGCTTGCCCTTGACCTCAAGCTTTAGGCCTGCCTCACCACTACCTGTCCTCTGGTGTAAACGCTGGCTCCAACATATGGTCACCTTAAAACGCTAAATGAGGGCGGTAGCCTTTTATGCCTGCTTTGCAATCATTGCGGTATAAATGACTGGACAGCAAAGAAGAATGAGTAATCCGGTTGTGATACTTTGCTAGCTCAAACTAAATTGTGAAACACATTGGTAAAAAATGTTCTCTTAGTCCCTGCGGTTGTTTGATTATATTTACTTTGGGAGATCTGACTGTGAGACCATTATAGAAAACATATATTTGGATATCTCAGTACAGTCACCTGGTATATCAATGACCTTGGTAAAGTGGTAAAGTCAGTTCACCCTTCCGTGCTTTACTTTTGCTTTAATGTCTTTTTTTTAATGTGGGCTCTCAGTGGAATTGGTTGGGTCTTTGCTTGTTGTTTTTTTTTCTTTTAACTTTAACTTTTTATTAAAAAGCAAAGAAGCTATCTTCGGAGGTTTCTCATGGAAAATATGAAAAATAATGTTTGAATTTTTCTGGCCTCTTAAAACTAGAAAAGTATATGGTTACTGAGAACTGCAAAGTTTATGATGGTCTTTTCAATTTTTTCCAGCATTTTTTCCCATTTTTGTAGAATAATAATTTTCATTTCCTGGAGAAGCTTTTAGTATGTGGGACAAAAAAAAAGTCTTCTGCTGCTGTAGCTGGGAAAAACCCAGAAGGAAAATATTCTGCTGTTCTTACTGTGAGACCTCTGAGTACAAATGTCCTTCTTTGGAATAAACATTACTTTTATTTTAGCCTAATCTATACCACAGATTAAAAATATTTCTAAATCTGTATTTGAGTACAGATAAGAGACAGATTTTGGTAGTGTTGATATTAAAGGATGTTGTACAAGCCACAGACCACAAAGCATCATCTGCATATGTCTGAGTGTCTATAGTATTTAATTTTTTTTGTTCATTCTGCTATTAGAAAATACTGTCTTTTATTGAAGCCTTACCTGTATGGTTTCTCAATGTACAGGGTGATGTTAGTTTACCACCTATATTAATTTCCTGAAATGTCTTTTTGCACTGGGAGAAGTAGGCTTCAAAACCAGATCTAGTTCTAAGTACAGTTTGCAACAGTGCTATTTAGCAGAGAACCTGGTAATTATGCTGGGTTTTTCTGGATCTGTTGGGAGGCTGGGTGTGCCTTGGAAGAAAGGTCATCTTCCCTTTTTTCCTTCTCCTGTCCTTCTTTCTCTTCTTTAGTAAATTGGTAGCCAGATTTATGTCCATTACACTCTGCCTACCCACATAAATTACAGAAGGAGATAAAAGGAGGGTAAAACATAAAACTTCGTTGTTAAATGTATGTTACTTCCAAGAAAACAAAACTTGTAGCTGATTCATTTTAAAGACTATAATTATAACTTATCTTTTTCTTTCTCCTTTGTATTGGCAGGATAAAAAACTTGAACATGCCTCGTAGCCCAACGTCAAGTGAAGATGAAATGGCACAAAGCTTTTCCGACTATTCTGTTGAATCTGAATCAGACAGCTCCAAAGAAGAAACTATTTATGACACAATTAGAGCAACTGCAGAAAAGCCAAGCAGCAGAATGGAAGACAGTCAGAGCAACACATTAGTGATTCGAATTATAATACCTGATTTGCAGCAAACGGTAAGGCATACTGCATTACAATTAGAAAAAAAAATAAGTGAAAGTAAATTATTGGCTTTGCTGGCTTCCATCTGCAGTAGATCTATTCTATTTTCTTACAATTTTTTGACATATTACAGGCAAAATTTATGTTGTGTTTTCTTTTAATGTCTACATTTTGTACCCCAGTGGTATATCGGACTGCCTAAACTAAAGGCACTGTCCCATCCAAGAGAGCGTATTCAGTATGTTAACTTGGTGAAAGCTGTGGTTGTAAAGCAAAATACCTGTCTGAGATGCATTCAGAGGCATTTGGGCAGAAGAAAGAGAATTAGAGATCTGAAATCTCATCTGAAGATGAGAGTTGAACCCTAAAATCACATTATCTCTGCAAAGCCTCGTGCATACGTAACCCTGCTGTCTTGTCTAGTTTCTCTTTTTATGAGATAGTTTGCGATTGGCAATAGACAGGTCTATCAGGAGATCATCAAATTCTCTCTCTCTTTGCCATATTTCTTGCCTTTCTCTGTCATCCTCCCACAAAAAGATATCGTTGTTAGATAGCTGGTGGCTTTTAGAGCATAAAGACGAGGAAAGAGAAACACGAATAAATCTTTCCTTCCTCCTTTTCTGCTATGCCTTTACTACACGGTGTAGTTTCTCAGACTTCCACCCAGAGAAGTCAATGCAGTCACTTTGGAGGGAGGAATAAAGCGTGGCATCAAACTGTACCACAGTTTTTACAATGACGTGAAATTGCTATTTTATTCTCTCCCACCTCCTCGCCACTTATACTAGAAACATATCAGAGAGGATAAAATGAACCTTTTCTGATTTTCCTAGAGGAGTCATTTGCAAGCGAACTTGTGGGCCTATGGCGACATCTCACATCCCTAAGTCTATTGGATGAAGACAGGGACTTCTCAACAAAAGATTTAATCTCTCACAAAGTGAATTGAAGAGACTTTTTGTTTGTTAAAAAAAGTCTCATTAATTAATTGAGAATAAAAGGGCTTTTTTTTTTTTAATTAAAAGAAAATTTTGGATATTCCTTACGTATTAGAAATCTACAGTCCAAATTCCTCACTTTTTCTCACAAGGAGCTATTAAGTTGTGTTTTATGGTTGAATGTGTAAAAGTCAATGTCTGGAATGTTAGGAGCATGAAGTTGGAAAAGTTTGCTGTTGTAACTTTGTAAGTAAATGAATAATTGTCCTCCAGAAGTGCGACGATAGGAATAACAGTCTGATCCTGGAGAGGGTCTTGGGAGTTAGTTACTGATTCTATCCCGAACCACAACTTGTCCAAGTTGGTGATTAATTATCTAAATTACCCTGGACCTCCTTGAATGCTGTTGTTGGGATTTTCAATTGATGGTACGCATCAGACTTTTTTTTCATTTCAAAGATTATGTTAAAAATGCATTCTTTTTATGGATGTGTGCTACATACATCACTCTGTGCTGACATTTAAGATCCACATCATACTGTGCTGCCATTGAAGATCTATCTCAGATGAAATGATTCCTTTCTTTTTAATTAAGTTCATTTTTAGAATGATAGAGATGGCCTGTCTACAGGCTGACAGGGAAGAGCTGTTTTGACAGTGTGGCCTCAGGCTTGGTTGTAGAGATCTTTTTTTGAAGCCCAATCTATACAGTGCTGCAGAAAGTCAAAGAAATCTGTGTTGGAGTTGGGAGCATTATCTTTTAATTTCTTGTACTTAAAAAATTCTTCTAGATGAGGATTGCTGCTGAAATTACAGTACAATTCCATTAGTTTATATGGTGTGATATTAACCTCTGTGAAGAGGCGGTGGTGTGGGACCCAAGCTGGACAAGAAGGCTTCAAAGGGCAGAGTAGGACTGAGGCTGATGTGAGCCACATGGGATTTTTATTAAATCTTGGTGAAGCAGCCATCATCTTGGGTCTTTCATTTCGGTATTGATTGAAATACTGAAATCCACTGTTGTACATCTTAAATTTAAAAGAATTTTGCCTGTAATGAAGTCCTCTGTCAAGACAAACTCTGATTGGACATGTGTAGGATTTTATTGATGATCCTACCAGCTTGCTGTATCTTTGACTGTGTTCAGTGCTCAATGAATAGATCCAGTAGAATGGAAAGATTAGCTTCACTTGCTAGGTTTACTCTGCTGTTAAGAACAGAGAGATTTTAGCCTCCTGAAGCCCTGTTATTTCATTACTCTATTTTTTAGACTAATAATAAGTTATTTATTGACACTGTTGAAATAGTTATTTTTTGTAAATTAATTTTGTGCAGGAAATTAAATAAATCAAAAAGTATTTTCGGTTTTGTGTTTCATTTGTTCATTTTTATTGCTTTACTTTCTGCATTTTTTTCCTTTTCAATAAACTCTTAATGAAAAGTAACTCAATTGTTTTAATTATTGACACTGTTGAAATAGTTATTTTTTGTAAATTAATTTTGTGCAGGAAATTAAATAAATCAAAACTCTTAATGAAAAGTAACTCAGTTGTTTTAAACAGTTCTATAGCAGATGACCTATTTCTGATTTAATTTATCAACCCACAAGCTCTTGTACAGAAAGGTGAAATCTGGATTCAGGTTTGCGAACAGGAAGACTGATAGCTTACATGTAGTGTAGCAAAGTTTGGAGAAGATCGTAGTTTGTGAGCTGTGTTATAGCTACAAGCCAAATCCAACATACACCCCATTTGCTGTATAATTATGATTGATTAAACATAGGTGGTGTTTAAAATTAGTCTGTTTAATCAAAGGAGCATGAAATGACATAATTTAGTTTTATGTTTTTATTCTTTATTGTTTTTTAAAAAGTATAATCAAGAATATATTTGTTTAAAAGAAGGCAAGTTTAAGATTTTAGATAAAACTCAACCCACTGGGAAGCTTTAAACCCCTAGCTAAACTCTCTAGGAATAAAAGTTTGCTTATCTGCAGTGACTGTGGTGTAAATCACCTTTATTTCCTTGCGTGTATGAGATAAGCACCAAACATCGTAAGTAGGATGTACTGCTGTAGAAAACTTTATAAATTATCACCCATTGTAAGAAATCTGTCTTGTTGCCCTTTTGTATTCATTTGAAATTTTAAAGATAATGTAAACCTTGACAAGTTCATACAAAACTCATGTGAAGACTTACTTTTCAGTTCTTATATCAATTCTCTTTTGTCTCATTTTCAGTTCAGATGATAATCCAATGTATTGAAACAATACTTTGTAGAAAGAGTAATTTCTTACTGCTTTTGTGCATCGTTTGTATTCAAGTAAGTGTCATCCTTAGCACAGGAGGGTGGAGAATACTTGAATAAGTGAAAGATTTCCTGAGCTCAGTAAAATTACTGAGGGAATGGAGGGCATTGAAAGCCATCCATATTCACAAGCATATGTGCATAGGAGAGCGGGTAAAAGAAGCTATATTATCTGGCATTTAATTTCCTGATTTAATAAGCCAGGAGGCTCAGCTTTAATACATCCTTTATGGAGGCAGGACACAGGTGTAAGCACTTTTGACCAGGAGCTGATTTGCAGTGCATCCAGCCCAGAGGGCTCTGGCTGGGCGATGACCCATACTACTTGCTATTGAGATGGAAATGACAGTGACTGGTTCCTCCTCTCGTTGCAATAGCGGTGCCAGGTTTCTTGGCAGCTTAGGCAATATTCAGTTGTGTTTGCCCTTAATGTGAGGATGCTTCATCCACCAGGCAGCAAAGTTCAGTGTCATGCTGTAGGCAGCACTGGTGAGAGGTCTCCATCTTTCCTCCTTGGTAAGCAAAGTTGGCAGTCAACAGCCCCGAGCAGTTTGCTGCCCAAGGCGACTGCCTACCTTATGCGTAAAGGCAACTGTGTCTGTGCATGGTGTGGAATGTCTTTTGGATGTGGAAAACTGGGTGAACTAACGTGTCTGCACTTTCCTCTCTAATGCCTGGCATATCTGACCTCTCCCTGGACCTTTTTGGTTTGAATCCAGGATCTTCTTGTATCCATTTCCTTTATCAGCCCATGTAAGAACACATCACAAGTGATTCTGCCTATAACTGGAAGGAATCTGGTTCCTCTCCAGCAGCTGTTGTCAAGAAAATCTCCTTTGTGTGATACTCTGACAGTGATGTCCAATGTTTTGTGCTTAGAATTGCTCTTTTTCCCAGACTTCAAGAACAGATCCGTCAGCCAATTGTTTTAAAGAATGTTTATATCACTTTGTTATCAACGCATGGTAGTTGTTCTGCTCTTTTGTTTTATCCTATACTTATGTACTCCCTCTGGTTTATGTTTAAAATCAAAATGCTCAGATTCATGTGTTTTACTAAATTCTGATGCTGAGATGGGATTGGGTCTGATGAAGACTTCTTTGAAATGCTTTCTGCCCATCTGTTTGGCTGCTCCACTTCAGTAATGAGCATTTGCTGACTCCCCCCTCTCCTGTTTGTTTTTTTTTTTTTATATTGGACTTGCATGGAAAATGTTGTTTGGTAAGTAGCAGTTTGGTAAAGCAACAGCTTAAGTTGTAGCTACTTTTTGGTTTTCTGCCTCTTTATTGCTTTTTATAGTTTTGTATCCTTTCTTTACGCTTTCCAGCGTTCGTTGGCCTGTAGGATTAAGAATCTTTTCCTTCAGTATTTTTCTTTCTTGGATAAAATGCGTGTTTCGTTTGTGTAATTTTTATCTTATGGATAGGAACCCAGTTGTCACAACTGCAGCTTGAGTCACATTTTTGCTTACGATGCCCCTATTTTTACTTGTTTCCAGTCTATACTACCATCCGCTGCCTCAGGTCTATGCCAGGTTTTCCTTTGCAACTTTTCACAAGTATTCTTCTGGATCCTGTTTTGTGACTGATTGTTCATTGCTGCTTTCTGTTCATAGTTGATCTTCCTTCTTTTTATCTTCAGTTTGACAATGGAAACATTGTGGGTGCTGCTGACATCTCTTCTTATGCCCTTGATCTGGACAGGTGATCTGACTTGCCAGCTGATGGTGGTGTGGCCAGACTAGTTTTTTTGACCTTTCCTCTCATGAATTCTGTGTTTTCTGAATGCATTTTGCTGAAGGAAAGCAGTACCTCCAAGAGTTATGTTGAACACCAAGCACAAATCAAAATGAGCAACTTGCTACATTTTTTTTCATGATACCCAACTCTTATTTGCATTTTCTACTTTTTGCTTGTCACATCCTTAATATCAGCGTCTTCTATTGAAAGGAATAACTTGTATTTTGATATTCTGACAGTCACACTTTGGAGGCAGCTGTACAAACCATATATCATGGTTCCTCTGTTGCAGCGGAGTTCTGTGTGAGTGACAACTTTGTGAGTCTGATGAAAAAGATGTGTTGGTTTATAGATTTTGAACGGATAAATGTTATTCCTCAGAGATTCTGTATCATGAACGTTATTCCCATTGAATTAATATCTTCCCTTTAGCTGGAGTGGGTGAGCTATATTTTTCCCTTGCTTCCAGTCCTTCTGTTGTGCTTAGTGACTTACTGTCACCAGTGTGCAGGAATGGAAGATTATAATTGACCATGTCTTTCATCATCCAAAGAGCTTTAATATCAAAACCCACAGGTCTCACATTTCAGCAACCAATGTTGACGTGCTGTCTTGCTGCTAGACTTGGATTTTGAGTGGCTTAGTGTGGTTGTGACAGTGTTTTTGAGCCACTCAGTACTTCTTTTTTGGTTCTTATTTGAAAGAACTGTTGCAATTTTTATAGTGTGTGTAGCTAGTCTTCAAGACAAACTTACCACATTTTATCTGGTCTTGGGATGCAACAAAAAGGGTGGAAAGAATAGATCCCACATCTGTCAGTGCAAAATATTTTTATGTTTCTTATATGTTTCTGTAGTTCTTTGCCACTAAACTATCCCTATTTTTTTTTTAGACTAATAAATCATTGAAGATTCGAAAAAGTTGTCCAGCTTTTTTAGCTCAGCTACTTTCTCGTTTCCTTATGGTCACCACAACATATGCATCTAATGAGTTCGTTCTTATTTCGTAACTAAAGCAATCTGTGTGTAGATTCTGCTGTGATTTAGCTGATGTTTTCTCAGGATAGAAAGTGTGGCAGTAGGTAATGACTTGTCTACATGATAAAGATGATGACTGTGGTGGTCTCTGCCATGGCCAGGCTGCAAGATGGGCAGAGAAGTGGCAGAGGGGAGGTGTTCCAGGGGCAGGCTGGTCTAAAATACACCTTAAACAGCATTTGAGCAGTCCTTCTTATCCTCTTGTTCAGCAGCTGCCTCCAAGAGGGTGGGAACAACCTCCATCTCTATCCTGCCTGGCTTCATGAGAAGCATAAATAATTGCTTTTCTCACTAGTTTCACTTACCTGAGTCTGAGAAATTTTGATAGGAAACAGTGTTCGGTTATTGATTTGCTTTTTACATTATTGATCTTAATTCATTATAAATTACTAATGGGATCAACATTTATTAAAAGCAACACATTGTTGTTTCTCGTGAATCACTAGAAAACCTAGGACTGTGAATAAATTAGTTTGTGAAATTACTGGTTTCAAAGTGTTACCGTATTTATTCTGTCATTGAGGACTCTCTAAAATATTGTAGCTAGTGTGGTAGAAATACAATAGTGATATAGTTGTCAGATAACTCATTTTAAAACAAGCCTTTGAGGTACTGCACAAGAAGAATTCCTTGCTGCCATTTCAGTCCAGTGAGGGTGGTTAAACTATTATGTCCTGTCCTCATGCATTATATGAATGTGCCAATGTCAGACTTGTGGAAAGCAAAGTATTTCAGAAGATAAATATTGTGCATTACTGATGCACTGTGCTTAAACACTGTAGAAAGATTTATTTTCCATTGGAAATCTATTATGAAGAAATTTGAAATTATTTATAATTTCACCAATTTAGCAAATCTTTGAGAATTAGAAACACATGCAATTATCTGCAATGTTTGCATGCAATCAAGAACAAATAGAACACAAGAATAAACTGAACAAAATTGAACATGTTGAATTCTCAATGCGTGTTAAAAAAAAGCAGACTTAATTAAACTTTGATCAGAAGTTAATGTTTTGTATTGTTAAAATCAAAGCAGTGTCATACAAGTCCAAAAATAATTTGCTTCATGTAAGAAAGACTTTCCTGTAAAACAAAATATGTGTGGTTTCAAAATTATCTTTGCTTCTTCCCATTTTAATAGCATTTCTTATAATCTTTCAGGATGTGTGGATAATAACCAGTCACTGCATAGTAATAGAGCATGTAGAAGTTAAGCTCATAACATAAGTTGTAACTGACAATTTTTAGAGTTGCTGAAAATTGCTGATGTTTGAATTTGAACTTTGTGTTAGAGTTTGAATCCATGTAAGAGTCATGAGGCAAACGAGGTTCAGAGCTGAAGGCAGACAGAGTTTTAAAACGCTTTGCCTTTGCTGCTAAGTCAGTACCTTAACTACAGGGCTGTTCAGGAATGAAAGTACTCTTTATAGTGTTCTTTCTGTCTCCTTCTCTCCTTCCCACCACCATTTAAAAACCCCTAACTTTTCACAAAACATCTTGAAATATAAAACATGTAAGGGGAATGAAAACTGCTTCCTAGCCAACTTTATTTGTGACAAAATCTAGTATCTCATTTGGTGACGTTTTTATATATAAGATTGTAAAGAACTAAAGCTATCTGTTATTTCCTAGGCCAAATTTTGGCTCACCTGAGCACATTGCAAAAAAAGTTTTATCCCTCTTCCCTTGCATACCCCGAAATGTCTTAACATCTGTACTTGAGCCGTATCTGAAGAAGTGCAGTTTGTGCAGGAACTGATGAAAGACAAACCAAGTGGTAATTTTTAATAGTTCACGCCCGTGTGCAGCGGAGCTGGACAGAGCCCAGTGTTCACGAGCTTGCCTTGCTTCCTTGCACGAACCCCTGTAAGATGCTATCACGGCAGCTTCAGTGGCACTGCTAGCCAGCAATGGTGAATAGAGGCCATCTTAGTATCAGTGTCTATTGATAGTCCTCATATTTGTGGGTTAATTCACAGAAACAGAGCCAAACTCCTCAATTTCAGTATGTCGTGATATTCAAAACCAGCTAGTCATCTCTACCCTGATGAAGTGAATGTATATGGAGGACTGGTTGACTGTAGTGTTTGCACAGTTAAAAATAGTTGTAAATTGAAAGTCCTTCATGTCCTGGTTGTACTTTTTACTGTTCAAAATTTTTGCCACTTGATGCTGAAACAGTCAAGAGGACACTGTGAACATACAAAATATTGTGACTTCTGCCTTTGAATTTGCTCTTCAAAATTGAGATATTCAAATGAATTTGTTATTTGATTTGTGTGTATGGGATCAGAGATTACTTTCAGATGTCTGCAGAGCTTGCCAGGATAAATATGTTTAGTTCTAAAAGACAAACTGGAACCATTTTCCTGTGGATGGCCTCGGGACTTTAAAAAGATGCCAACAGATAATGTAGAGGTGAGCACTGCAGAAGCAGCTGTGGGTGAAGTCAAAGGAAATGCTTCACTCTCTTCATAAAACATCAATCTTATTTGTACTTGTACTTCTGTTCTCTTATCTTTACGTACAATTATAATATGAAGAGTAGCAGTGGTCTTCAGAAAAGGCCTGAAGAGCAGTTACTGACATTACTGTAGCCAGAATTACAGCTGTGTTCATGGAAACGTACTGATAAAAAAGATACATCTGTTAATATTTTTCTTTGACCCACATGCAATCCCTGCATCCTGTGTTGAATTGTGAAGGGACAGGGACATCCTTTGAGTGGGCAAAGAAGGGACTCCTGTGCTGTTGGTCTGCCGTGGCAGCTTGGTATGAGCCCTTCTTATGGCCCAGTGTGGGGTGAGTTGGCAGCACCGTACATTCATAATGCACATCAGAGGCAACAAACTGGTTTCTAGACATTGCCATGTGCTGGAAGCTCTTAACCAATGACTGCAATGTAAACTACAAATGTGAAATTCCTAAATTCCAGCTTGGTAAGAAGCAGAGAACTGGAAAAGGTCTTCCAGGTTTTCAAGTCTTCTGGTGCTTCACATTGTAAAGTTCCTTCCATAAACTTACCCTGAGATAAATGTAGCTTAAAATGAAGTAGAATTCTTGCCTGAATACTGTTTTTTTGTGAAATTGTTGCATATCAGACTGGTTGTCAGAACAGCCTAGAGTCAAGTGGATGGTTAAACATCTTGTAACATCCCTTTCACTTGGCTTTTCAAACAGGTTTACCATGAAGGTACTCTTTCTCTGAAGTATATGATCTCTGATGTTTGTGGAAGGACTTGAGATGTCCTGTGTTTTCACAGTACTTATAGATTAGTTATTATAGAGGAATGCATGTCTGAAATGTAATTCTGTTGATGTATGTTTTGTCATGGAATTTGTAGGTTTATTGTGTATGTGTGTATATATTTGACACTTGCAAATTTTAGAATGTAAGATGCTATTTAAATGTTTTTTCATTAATTAGATTTTTTTTTAATACTTTCTTTTTGCAGAAATGCATTAGATTTAACCCAGAAGCTTCAGTGTGGGTTGCAAAGCAACGGATTTTGTGCACTTTGAATCAGAGTTTGAAAGATGTCCTGAATTATGGACTGTTCCAGCCTGCAAGCAATGGTAGAGATGGGAAGTTTTTGGATGAGGAACGACTTCTTAGGGAATACCCACAGCCAGTGAATAAAGGAGTTCCTTCACTTGAGGTATTTTTAGATCTGATATCTGACACCTTTGTATTCTGACAAAAACTATACAGTAAGCTGTATCTGAGGTTTCTACATGCACCTGAATTGCACTTGGGAAATAGTGATCAGCAAGTCTGAACTTGAACCCTTGCTCACAGGAGTGCTGGTGTTCACTTGCTGGGTGGAGCTGTTCCATGTGTTATTCCCAAAAGGCTGCAAAGAATCAACCCCCGTGAGAAACTTGATTTCGGAGTTTTCCTCTGCTGAGAACACAGGAGATGTACCCTGTTCTGTGACTTAATAAAGAAATGTAAGGTTCTAGATTAAGTTTTTGGCTCAGTAACCAGGCTTTGCTTTCTGCCAAAGAGAGGGTCTTTCTGTTTCAGTGAAACCTTTTTTTTTTCCTTTTTTTTCCTTTTTTTTTCTTTTCCCCATCTATTTCCCTCTTTGCCCTCCTTCAGAGCGCACAGATTTCCTCTGTCTGTCTCCTGGAAAAGCAGTAAGGGAAGAGAGGGTGTGTATGTGCGAAGCAGTCACACACAGACACTGGAATTTCCCCCCTCTCTGTTGCTCATGCAGAGGCTGTGCAACTGAGGGATAAACTGGGCAGAACTATTATGGTACTGGACAAATGTGGAGCAGGGCCAGATCACACTGAAACACAGTATAGCAGGAAACTGGGGCATGAAACTAGTATTTAATTAATTTTGCGATTGCTTGTAGGGTGGTACATCAACCACTAATAATCTGCAGTTAATAGACCTACTCCACTAGAACACAAATCCAAGAATAAAGAACCAAGGTCCAGAGAAGATTTCAAGTCCTAGCTTTTCTAGCAGTTTATTTCAGAGACTCAATCACTGATGTCCATATTAATAGCCATAAACAAGTTAAATAACCGTTTTATTTTTTTCTATCATGTTGTTTCATGAGTGTTCACTGTTTGCAAAATTCTTCTCACTGTGGCTAGAGGATTGCAATTCAGGGATTAACAGCAGTCTGGTGAAAAGCTGGTATGAAAGCTTTGTTCAATACAGTCTCCTTGTCCAACAGACATACTGCATTCTTTGAATTCTGCATAGTACTATTAGATAATAGTAAATTGTAACTATGTAAACCCCATGATTTTTGCCATAGATTTTGCTGCTCTGGCTGCAGCATAACAAACTGTTCATGGTAAAATGTGAGTGAGTTTCAGCCAAAAAAAGAGGCAATCCTCTGAACCTCATTCACAGGACCAGTCTTGTTAAACATCAGAACTATTCCCATGTCTAAGTTCTGCCTATGTTGATTAGGGGATTTTTCAGGAATCCCTTTTTTTTTTTTTTTTTGTTTTTCCTTAAATTTCAGAAGTGCTAAGCTGATATATTGAAATATGTATTTTTTTAATTTAACATGCCTCCCCAGTTCTTCTTTCTGCCTGAGACTATAAATGAAAGTGCACAGATACCCTTAGGGAAAAGCTCTTTTCACTGTAATTCTTGCTTATTTATGTAGATTCTAGAGACCAATCTCATTTCTCATACGCCTCCACTGATTTCAGTATATTTATACAAGATATGAATTTTACTTACATGAACTGTAAAACTATGATGCCACTATGTTAAGCAGAGCGCTGATTATTGGTGAATATTCAAAATGAAATACTAAGCCTTTTTTTTTCTTTTTTCATTTTGCCTAAATCTACATCATCATGGATGATACTTTCTGGTAAGGTCAGAAAATTGTGTTACAAGATTTTAAGCAAAATAGGACATTTAAAATTTATTCTTTTTTTCCTCCCTCAGTTTCGATACAAGAAGAGAGTGTACAAACAGTTCAATCTTGATGAAAAACAGCTGGCCAAACTTCATACGAAGGTATGCCCAACTTACTGGAGAAGTTAGCAATTGCCTACTTAGCCAAGTAATGTGTTTGGGAAACAAAATAAGTAGGAGTTCGTTACCACCTGGGCCAAATGCTGAACAACAAACAGTGTGTACTGTCAGCATCAACAGGGATGTGTGAATTGTGATCTGGGAATTTCTCTCATAGAAAAATTACCAGGTTTGACTCTTCCATGTGTATACTAGTAATTTGAAATGAATGTTGCTTTGTAAATACAGCATGCTTTCAACAAGCTGCAGAAATGCCAATTGATGTCTTTAGACTCATTTGCAGGTCAGAATAATAATAATGATCACCATACACCATCCTAATTTCTTACTGAATGAATCTTTCACTCATTTTTTTCCTTAAAACTATAAAACCTAGAATCTTCTTACTGTGTTTGACCTTTGCACATTATAAATGGTAGGGTTTATGCTCTCAGTATAAAGTCAGGTTCTTCAGGAATGTGAATTAGCTACTGTTCAATGATGTCAATGGATAATGACATTAATTTACAGAATATTTCACTTTTAGTCAAAATTTTATTTTTAAAATTAGAGGATGATTCATTTGTCACTCTTGGTTTCAGGCTAATTTGAGAAAATTTATGGATCATGTCCACCATCTCTCAGTGGAAAAAATCACAAAGATGTTGGACCGAGGACTGGACCCAAACTATCATGACCTAGAAAGTGGAGGTCAGAACAATAAAACAAACCAGCAGCATAAAGTAGTACCTTGGGTTTGTTCAGCCTAAATTGATTAACAGGCTGAATCTCACATATTCTTTCTGTTGTCTTCATAACTCTAGGCTAATGGAATCTGTATAGTTTTGCTGTCCGAAGGGGAAAGTTGATAATTTTATGATTTTCTTTGAGCAGCATTTTAACTTAACATTTTTAAAGCAAATGTCCTTTTATAGATTTGCTCATCTTTTTTCAAGTACATGCTATTCTTTTCTTTAGAAACACCCCTAACTTTGGCAGTTCAGCTTGACAATACAGTAGAAGTAATAAAAGCTCTGAAAAATGGAGGAGCACATTTAGACTTCAGAGCCAAAGATGGAATGACAGCTCTGCACAAAGCAGCCAGAGCCAAGAACCAAGTAACCCTCAAGGTAAATGCTTCCAGTAGCAAATTATACATAATTTCTTAGAAAAAAATATGTAAAGGAGAGTGTTTTGAGTTAATTACTGTATTGTCCTCAATGAATCCTTTACTATGTACTTGTTCTAGTTATTTCTTGTGGCTTTCAAGTCTTAGAATTTGCTTTCAATAAAGGGTCTTTTCATTTCTTTTTTTTTTTGGTAGGAATAAAAAGTGAAATTTAACCTTATTCATTGATACATTGGGAAAGATCTGTCTGAGGAAATAGGAATAGTGTTATTGTTGCTTATCTCTTTGAAAGCAAATGCCAGTGGCATGGATTACACGTATATCTTAACAGAGTCTCTTCTGTTTTCTTTTGTATTTTAACAGGTATTCTTAAATCACCTTCATAGTCTGGATTAAGTCTTATGTTTATGGCTGTTGCTTATTTCCTTTTGACAGATATTCAAATTGCATGACATTTTTGATAAAGCATCTTGTAACTGAAGAGGTGAATGTGTTGCAAAGGTGATGCAGCATTTTCAGAACTGAGATTTCTGAACTTAATGAGAGGATGGAAATTGGACATTGCCACTCATCCTATCTTTGCTATCCCTGTAGGTTCCTTTAGGTCCTAACTCTTCTGAGGTCATTTCTTGCTTAACTTAGTCTGTGCTGCGGCCCATTCTATCAACTTATTTATAAGTGAGCAAAAAATAAGACGTTATGGCAAGTATCAACCTTATAAATACTTTTTCAGGTGAAGTCCCTTTGTAGTTAGAAGTCCCTCCAAAATATATTTTTCACAGTTTGGAATTGCTTTCAGACTCTTTTAGAGCTTGGAGCATCTCCTAACTACAAAGACAGCTGTGGCCTGACACCACTGTACCACACTGCTGTTGTGGGAGGCGATCCTTACTGCTGTGAACTGTTACTTCACGAACACGCCACAGTCAGTTGCAAAGATGAAAATGGATGGCAAGAAATTCATCAGGTAGGAAAGACTACTTTTTGTTTGGCGTTGAAGTTGTATAAGGAAATGTGCCATGCATGTTCTGTGGTTAAATGCTGTTTTGAAGGCCTTTTAGGTATGTATGTTTAGCCTGTGTACATACAGGTATAGAATTTCTTCCTTTTTCTATTTGCTGATCACTTTGCATGCTACTGTGGTGAATTAGAAGTGGAAACTGGTCTAGTGGAGTTCTGTAACTTTGAAATCCTATGGTTACTGTGGATTTTGCTGTAGAAATTGCACTAGTCATTTATGTAATGGACTCTTGGAAGTTTAGCATCCTATTAGTGGCACTTCAGTTTAAAAGTGTGACTCGATCTTTTTTGTTAGATGCCAATTTTCGTATCCTTGGTAATGCTTCTTGTGTGTTTGTCGGATGTACTTTCTCCTTTCTCTTGGGTGAACTTTACAGGAAGATTTGGGTTCCCGATCCTGCTGCTAGGATCCATCAGTATGTTCCACTGAAGGATGTTAAACTCTTACAAACTCACAGTTTGAGTCAGTTTTCATTCCCTGCCTGTGTGGAAGCTGTGATTCTAATGATTTTTCTTTTGCTGTTTGTACATGGGTTTTCCTTTCCTCTCTTACATATTCAGTGTGTGGATAAAGGTGATAGCATGCTCTAGAAAGAAAAATTATTTTAGAAAGGTAATCTTTTGAGGTTTATGGTGCTCATGATACCTTGAGTCAGCTATGGTGCCAGAGTTCATCAGGTGCTGGCACATCTTGGTCAGCTTCACCATAGCTATTGGGAAGGTAGAGCTCCTTCCTCACTAAAGACCTAAACTGTATCTTTTAAAAAGGCCTATAATGTTTAGTAAGGCATTTTCTGAAAAAAACTTTTTCTTTGAATTCTTTTATCTTGTCTTCTCTAGAAACATCTGAATATTATGCAACAGTTGTGTAAGAATACTGATTTCTCTGTGCATAGCGATAAACTCAGTAATTTACAAAGTTTGAAGATTCTAGCAGTCTTAATGTCATTGCAGCTATTTTATGCCTTTTCTCTATATGAATGAGTTTGAGTAATCATAAAAAATGGAACTGACGTAGTATTATCAGATAAATAAAAATATGAGTAATCAACCTTACAGGTCTGCTTAGGTCATCTAGGCTCACTTTCTTTTCTGTACACTAATCTTTTTAACATACAACTTCTTTTCTTCTATGAAAGAAATGAGAGATAGCTTTGGTACCCAAGTTTGGGCAGGAATCTGAGCTTTTTGACTGTGAGTATGTTCGGGTTGAGGTTGTTTGGATCCATCTCTAGTAGGGGAAAAAAAAGGATTAATTTACTACCATCGTTTCTGAGCATGAGGAAGAAATGGGTTGTCTATATCGAAGTATTACCCCATCTGGACTCCCTGAAAATGAGAGAAAAATTCCCTATTTTGAAAACCCAGCCTTGTATGCGTATGATTGTTATTTCTCATAATGAAACAGAGCTTTCCAAACCCATTGTATTGGTTATAATTCTAAATAAATCAACATTTACATCTGGATTGTGGGCAATCTGTTTTCAGTGATCAATAATACAAGCATTCCTCAATGAAATAGAAAGGTGGTGGTATGATACAATCCCATATGTTGTCATCTGTGTGAAGAAGGTGAAGTTACCTTGCATGGCAAGGAAATAATTGGTAGCAAGTATATTTTTCATTTTGCTAACACAATCTTTAACTGGAGAAGTTAAGCCTCTGGGTTACCCTTGTAGCAAAGGGGAGAAGGTAAGGTGGCGGTTCATGCTAGGATAGTAATAGAAAGGATATCCTCTGTAGATACCTGTCTCTCTCCGTTGACCTTACTGGTGAGCCCTGATGGATGGTTTGGACAGTTCACCTACCATGCAGACCCCTATAACGAGGGGAAGTGCATCTCCCTTGCGCTGGTTGTCTTCCAGCACCTGTCAGACTGGCAAAGAGGAGGCAAATCCTGCTCTGGCAAAGGAAACAGGGCCTGCTTCCAAAGAAAGGGTCTGCTTTTAGTCCAGTTTATTGTAGTAGGAATAGAAAGTTGGAATAAGTTATTCTATTTTAGGAGTTATTGTAATAATTACATCAGCACAGTCATACCTAGATGTTGAGTGAGACTTGACAGAATTGATAATTTATGGCTAATTGTGCATCTGCTCTAATTTCCCGCACACTCAGAAACACAGTTATGGGTTGGTACTGTTTCTCCCTTTGCTCGTTGTTGGATGTTTGGTTTCTGTTGCCAAGTGTTAAAATCTTCCTGTTCCAGTAGCAGCTAGCATAGTATCTCCCTTATTTTGGCAAATAATTTGTAAATGAACAGACTATTTAATAAATACTGTTTTTTTCCCTTTCTGTGTGTTAAAAATTGAAAATGGAGGAACAAAAGATGTAGTGGTTTAGGATACTAGACTGGGATTTGGGATGTCTCACAGATTTAATTTGTGCATTGAGCAGTACACTTGATTTTTCTCATCCAAATTGCAAGATAGGTCAGTTTTTAACTCCCACTGAAGTCAGTAGTAATGAGGTGCTTAAGATGGACTGAATGGCTTTGTATACTTGTATCTCTTACCTTAAGTTCCATATTATTATATAGGAATGATACTGATCTGAGATGATGCAAAGTTAAAAACATTAGAAATTGGGAGGTGCTCAGTAGATGTGCTATAAAGAAGGTAGTCAAGTAAATGAGACTGATGAATGGAAATACTGTGATCTTTCACAAACTTATTTGCTAATCAGGAAACTTTCTGATTTCAGTGGAGCCTTGTTCATAGAGGTTTATTTCCAAGTATTCAGGGTCTAACACTTTATTTGTGTGAGTGATAAAGTAACTCTTGAAGATTTTCCCACTTTTGGATTGGTGCCATGGGTATACTGTGTGTCTACTTGACATCACAGAATCAAGGAGATTATTGAATTTTGGCCAGGTTTCCCTAAACTGTTTTCACACCTTAAAAGCAAGATTTGGAAATCTGATCATCTTCAGTGCCATCTAGTGGGAAACTTTCCGAAGATTAACAGGACAACAAAACTTACCTTTTGTCAGTTTGCTTGTCACATTTGACAGTAATGAATATTAGTGGATAAAAAGTGCCAAGCTTTATATTTTCTCGATCCCTTAAACTACCATTCCTCAAATAAGCAGGTGCTTAAACTTATGCACAGACTTACTGTACCTGAAGTGCACACGCTGGCGTTTAGAGGCAGCTAAACGCCTCTGGGTGTTAGTCCTCCCATTCAGCCCAGGGATGGTTCTAAAAATTAGACCCTAAGTAAAATAACATCTTCTCTGCTAAAAATCTTTACCTGGAACGCTTGCTTAGATTGTATAATAACCATAATATTAATGTGTCTCTTTACAGGCTTGCCGATACGGACATGTCCAACATCTAGAGCACCTCCTCTTCTACGGCGCTGATATGTGTGCGCAGAACGCCTCGGGAAACACAGCGCTGCACATCTGTGCCCTGTACAACCAGGTGAGCTGGCTCACCCCACCTCTTCCCGCAGACCCTGCGCCGCAGAGTCCTACGGTCCTTTTGCAGTGACATAAAGGTCCCCAGTGGGAGCTGAGGGGAGCCTGGAGTCCCCTCTGCGTAGGTAAGTGGGGAGGGATATCTTACTTCAAAAGAAGGTGAGTCTGGGGAGTCCAGTCCTGTGGAGACTGGAAACCAGAGCTATGAGAGAATGACGTGTAGCCAGGAAAAAAAAGACCTAATTGAGGTACACGTGCTAAATCTTTCATTTCCATCCACAGAAACAGAGGCTTGTTGAGTTTTCTTTTGAAGAAGTTTACTGCTTTGGTGTTATCTTTTCCTGAGGTGCAGTTTCCTCGCTTTTAATAAATGCATTTGGGATACATTTCCCGTTATTGTTGATCCATAGAGGCAAGTTACACTGGAGAAGAACATAGCTCAATATCTTTCATTTGATTTATTTAATATGCAGTGAAGTGTTACAGGTTTTAAACAGTGGTCTTAGAAACTAGAAGGAACATAATTTAGAACTATTTTGTTACTATTTTGTTCACTGATTACAAATAAGGCTGCTCATTTTAGGTAGCGAGAGTATGTATCTCAATTAGAAAATAAACTAATATCATGTTCTACCAGCTTTTTTTTGTATCATATCTAAATATGTGTTTCCTATTCAAAATTTATTGCTGTTTTGCTAGAATTTAAATTAGAATTAAATGAGAAATACTTGGAAAATACTGCGGAAATGTCTCTGTAGATTATACAGAAAATACCTGATTCTCTGCTGTTTACAACTTCTGTAGTCATTTACAAATAATAGAACCATTTGATTTGATAGTATTTTATACTGTCTTTGCATGGATGGGGTGGGGAGGGAGTGAGTTTTACAACTATCTTAGAACACAGCACATATAATGTTACATTGAATTAGGAAAACACAAGTCATGAGATGTGGCTGTAACTAGTGAAACATCTGTTAAAGCATCTGCTTCTTAATTAATTATCATCTTAGTTTTTTTTTTAAAGTCTTGTTAAGACAGATTCCTCAGGTCTAAAATACACTCAACTTTTTAAAAAATAGAATTTTGGGTGTAATTTGACATTTTTCAAGGCTGTTGAATTGATGTGTGTGTCATAATTGATATCAATTCATAAAGAGTCTAGCTGTACAGATCTCCCTTGTTAGTGCTGATTATTTGAAGTATACAGCGTAGCAGTGAGAGCAGTACCCCTATGGACTGCTTCTTGCTCATTGTCTACCAACCACCTTCCACAGGCTGTAAGTACCTGCATCAAGCAGTTTAAGTTTAGCAGTGGTTTCTTTGCTCAGCTTGGATGGCTTCTGTGACTGTAGTCATACAAAGCTTTTGCAGGTCTGGACGTGTTAAAATTCCTAGAAAACTTTGCAGAGAAATGAAATTCACCTTCATCTTAACAAAAATTTTGCATTTAGGCTTCAGGTCAAGAGCTTAAGCTCTTCTGTTGAAAAAAATATTTTAAAATGTTCACTTTAACCTCATGCAATTCACTTTTCCTGACTAAAAATTTTGAAGCCCAGACCATAATGCCCCTATAAACTTAAAAACATGAACTCATCTCTATTTTTTTTTATAACCATTTTATTGTGGTGCTTTCATGGCTATAGTTGTTTTCAAGATCGTACACTTTTAGCAAAGGTTATGCAGTATGATGCTGAAATTAGAATAGTCCTGTAGAATGACAGTATATTTCATGTAAAGGTGTGTTTTCCTCCTGACCTCAGTGGAAAAAATTATTCTGTAGAAGGCTTAGAGACTCTAATTAAAATTGCATCTACAAATTCGCAAAAATTTTCATAGTTATTAAGCTTGGCTTTGTGAATGGAAGTTTAACATCTTGTGATTACACTGTCATGCTTCTGTTTTCCTTAATCAAGTGTATATGCAAATAAAAAATTTTTTCTCAGGGTGTTGTGAACCGTAACCTATGCTGATTTTTTTCAGCGTCCCTTTTATTGAAAGTTGTTAGCTAATGTGGAAGGAATGGTGTTGGCCTTTTCTGGATCGAGGGGATGGGAAGGACAGCAGTATCCTTTTTACCTCTTGGTTCCTGTAGATGGAGTCATTACCCATTTGATTTTCCCTTCCAGTGTCCCCTGGGGAATTGGGATACTTTCTGAAGTTGGTAATTCTGTTTTCCTGAGTGTCAGCTAAGTGCTAATCTGAATAAACTCTTTTTTCTTAAAGTTATTTCATGGCCATCCAGTAACTGTGAAATCTAGAAATCTTATACCCCCGTATTTTGCAAATAAAAACACTGAGATGAAGTGTGCCTTCTTTTGGTCAGTGGGTTGGTTTCTATATGAACACTATTGTAGTATTAGATCAGGTAATTAGCGCTCAGACAACAAATTAAATCTAATCTGCTGACAAGACCACACTTCTCTGTGAAATTCTTTTTAATCTTGTGAAGTCTAAAAAACTACTGCATATTCAGTTTATCTATGATATAATGAATGAACAATACTAAGCACTCAATATCAGAAGTTACTAGGTTGTCAGAGCTAAAATATGTGCAGACAGGAGTTATGACATTTGTAGGTAGCACCTTAACAACAGAGGGCTCTAAAATGTGGAATTTCCATCGAATTAACAAAAGAAAAGCAATCAAAATAATTTTTGGAGGTGGCTTTTTTGCTTATTCTGACTGATTTCTTCCCCTTAATACTGGAAGGATGGGGAGAAGACAAAAGGGAGAGAGGATGAAGCTAAGAATGCTTCTGTTTGTTTTAAAAGAATAAATAAACAAACAAACAAGTGCAGTGCTTCATCCAAATAAGTTTTCTTGAAAATTCTTATGTTGAACAACTCTGTCAACTTTTGTTAAAACTTTTCTTATCAAAACCATTTAATAAATAAATCACTTCGCATGTTTTTTGTTACACTGCAGACAGTTTAGTTCAATTTGTAGAGGCTTTTTAAATGTGTAATTCTTTTGGGTTTGTAGTGTTGAATTATTTATTCTGATAACCAAATGAATAATCAGCCAATAAATACAATCTTAATATCATTATTTATATCCTCAAGTTCTTGATTAAAATTGGGCATTTTAATGCTAAGGGGTTCTACTAAAATTCCAGTATGTTTACTGAACATTACCCGCTGGTACAATGGAATAGTTGTTATTATAGGAATGTAATACAGTGTGCAAACGTAGAATCATTTAGGAGTCAGTCAAAAAGGAATTATTGGAAAAGTAACCGTGAAAAGAACTCCTCCCCCCCCCCAGCCTTTAGGTCTTAATCTAGATTGCAGCATGTTTACTTCTTTTGGATGATTGCTAATACAGAAAAATGAGAAAAACATTTTGACATTTTGCACATTGCTCTTGGTTTTCTTATGTTTAGAGATACAGAGAACACACCTGATGTGCAGATTTCAGTGCAAGCAAATGAGACTATTTCAATTAATTATATATAATTAAAAAATTACCATCTATGAGATGATTGTTAATGTACCATCTTGAGATATGATCCATTCTGTTGTTTCAGTCTGTTGTGCAGAGTAGGAGTGTGGGAACAAAAGGATATCTTTTGGGGGTATTGAATCTTTGGGGAAAAGGTAGAATGGCCTGCTCCCCAGATATATGTAGGACAATCCTGTGATGGAGGAGACTTAATAGGATCAAGAATCTAATGTGATAAATTAGAAAACACAATGACAAAAATTATTTTCAATCATAATTTCTGCACATTCACTTATGACTCAGATCTAGTAAATAAGCTTTATTTCTGTCACTAAAATAGCTAAATTATATGATTTTTTTCCTCTGGCTGCAAGTTTACTGATAAAAGTGAAAGGTAGCACATTGAAATACCTCATTAGGGAGAACTCCGTAACACAACATGACAAGAAATCTGGAAAGCACAACAAAATTTACAGAAATATTTATGATGAGGACCCAAAACCATTTTGAAATGTGAACTGGTTTGCATAAAGTCCTAAGATGAACATTGAAGATGACAAGTAGGAAACATAGGCTATATATGGATCATCAAAAAGTCTAGTATTCTGAGGACCGTGCCCAGAACCGCAGAGGATTTCTAGCAGGTGATGGTCAGTCATGTTTTACAGCAGTGTAAAGTGGTGACTTAAGGAATACACTGTCTTGGTCCAAAAAATTGTTTCTAAGGGATTTCATTTGCAGATTTCCTCAGTTCAGAGGGTCTGAAGCCATATTTTTCTCATGTAAGAAGTGCTGTGTTGGGTTTGTGCTCTAACTGTTAGTATTTTTTATGGGAAAAGACAGAAGGTAAGACTGGTCAGTGCAGTGTATATAGCCAAACCAAATAATTTCAGGTACATTAAAAAAATTATCATACATTAAATGTTTTAAAATTGAAGATAGGTTGGAAAAAAAAACGAAATAAGTTTATGCAAGTGGTAAAACTGCTTTGTTTACTTTTTAGCAGTAAGGGAGAATATCGTTCATCTCAGCTACTGCTTACTGTACTGTAGGGGAAATAGTACTGTTCACAAAATAGGCAAAAACCATATGAGAGTCAAACTTCATTTTGAAGTAACACATTTTCAGCAAAATCTGATTTTTCAAGTCTGAAATTTTCACAGTACAGTTTCTTAAAAATTTAGTAAGAGATTTACCTCTCACTTTCCTCTACATTTCTTTACAGTTGTGTATTGTTTCTATTCTACCACAATGAAAAGCACCTAAAGCCTTGTCATATTTAAAGCATTATTTTAATAACTTAAGTTCTCAGATTATTTATTTTGTTTGCTTCTTATCTAAGAAACTATATATCAAACAGCAACACTTCTCAAAGCCACAGCATCTCTTTAGTAACTGAAGACCCTTATTAACAAGTTTACTCTTCTACCATTTTCAGGAGAGCTGTGCAAGGGTGCTGCTCTTCCGGGGAGCCAACAAGGAGATTAAGAATTACAACAGCCAGTCTCCATTTCAGGTAAAAAAGAAATACCCCTTCCTCCTGCCCCCCAGAAATATTTGGAAGAAAATCTCATGTGAACTTGATTTTGTAGAGAAGTTACACTGCGCAAGGCTGAGAACAGCTGTAGAGTAAGATAACCATCATTTTGAAAACTGTAGCTTTTGTGTAATGCAGTAAGTGAAGATGTCCTGGAATAATTAGGAATGAGAGAAAACCACCCTCCCCCTTAGCTGGTCTGGTGACACCGTCAATGAGTTTGAGAATTATATGGGCTGTTGATGACAAAACATGAAATCACTGGTGTCCTGCGGTTGGATGTGCCTTGCTTTGTGATTATATCCAGTCCCATGTAAGAGAGATCTAAGGAGTGCCTGGGCAGCTAAGCTTTGCTTGGCCCCTATTGACTTAGCCAGAAAGAAGCTCTTCTTTCCTTGGATGTGAGGCCAAGGAGCGGGGCTAAGTTTCAGGGATGGGATTGATTTAATGCACTGTCAGTGGTAAAAGTTGAAGCTGTCATCTGTATCTCCGAAAGAAAATGAAGTCTTTCTTTGGATTAGTCAAAATTTACTAGATGTTTTTTCACCATTTTCTTATATAAAAGTACCTTCAGAAAGCTCAATTAAAAATCCAAATGGAAGAAAATTGTTTCTCCAAAGGGTTGTCAGCTATGGCTGACAACCTTAAGCCCTTATTTCTGAAGCAGTCTTAATTAGCCTGGATTTCAGAGAAACATTCATAATGCAAACTGACATGTGAGAAATAGGGATGAAAGCTGTAATGTTTTAAGAAAAAGGAACAGAAAGAATTGTTTTCAAGTTACAGAAAATAGTGCTTCTGGAAGAATGATGGCACAGTACCATTGAAAGGAGCTGTCGTGTTGTGAAACGTGAGGAGACTATTTCCCAAAACCAAGTAGTCTCTCAACCAAAAGAAATCCTGATGTAGCTTTGCTGGTTTTATCTTTCCCAATACATCCTCGACCCACTTTGGGTAACGCTGGCACAGAATTCGAGGAGGACCACCTTTTCTCTCGTGCTTTGACAAGTGAAATAGTTGGAATATTAACTATATCCGTGTGGGCCTCTGAGCTGACTCCTCAAAGTTTACATGCAGATAACGCCTCTGAGTTTCAGGCTTTTAAAAAAAACCTCAGCCAAATATTTCTGTATCAGTTTAATTATCTCCATATTTTGAAGGTTTTCTGGACATAAGTTGTGTATCTCAAGAGCTTGAGAATTCTGCCTGCAAATCCCAGATCATTGTTTACTTTTGGGACCATTTTCCCAAAATTGGGGATACAGTGCATTAATAATTTTAATTTTAGGCACCATTTTTGGACTGCTAATAGTTTGCCATCTAAATGTATGTTAAGCGCAAATTCACTAAGTACTCACTGCATCTTAGAATTATGGAGTGATTAAAAAATGGAATAGCAGAAAACCATAATGATTGGAGGGATATGTTCCAGTGTCATCTCTTTACTTTGAGAGATTAGATTTTTTTTATTACTTTATGTCTTTGAGATTAGCTTTTCTTTTTGTTTTAGGATTTTTATGCGAGGAAGGTATATGGCAAGTAGAATAGTTTCCATTTGTGTTCCCCTTTGTGCTGACTGCTGCAACATTCTTGTTCTTCCCCTTAGAACAGAAAAATACAGGGGAATAAGGCAGAAAAGAAAATACTTGTGAAAGCTGGTGCTGATGGTTGTAGGGCTTCAAGTGGAGGATGACTAGCCAAAAGTAAATAAAATCAAGTGAGCACAGGAGACAGAAGAAATAATTTTGACAGAAGGGTATGGCTGTGGAAGTGCACTTAGTGACCAGTGAACTCTCTCCTATCCGTATGGAATAAAATCCTATTTGTTATCATTTGTTATATGTTACACTTCTGGGGCTTGGGCTTTTGTCTGGGCACTCTTCCCCTAGCACGGACAGAAGGACTGACAATTACGTTGGCTTTGTTTTATCCTTTCTAGATCCACATACTTAAAAAAAGGGGAAATCACTTTCCATCTTTTTACTTTATGGTGTCTTACTTTTAGTAATGTAGGAAAAGTTCTAGTTTTTCCGAATGGAGTGAGTAGAGGAAAACCTGACGCCAGCACTGCAATAGAGAAGCATTAGAATTAATTCTTTGCCATCTGTCTGTTGCTGACCTAGTCGATCAAACACCGCAAAAGTAGAGCTGTTATAAAATTATGCAGAATCCCCTTGAGTTAATAGGATTTTGCATACTAAAAATGTTTACTCATGTAATCAGTAGCAAGGAACATCGAAGCGTCTCATATGTACATAATGAGAACGGTTGTAGCTGCAGCATCTATTCCTTTGAGTAACCTCCATTATGTTCTTTTCTCAGAAATCTGAAAGGATGATTCTTTTGAATTGCTGCTTAGAAAACTGATGATATGAAAACTGTGCTATTCTGTAAAACAAAAGTATCCAGACGTGGAGAAATTTGTGTGTTGCTTTCAAGGTCTGCCAAGGCTTCATTTATTTTGATGAAAATGAGCAGCAGAGTTTGTATCTAGCATTAGTGTCCAGTGAATGTAGTGTAATTTTACCATTGGTCGTTGTCCCCCCACCACCATGTGCATGTGTTCGCTTCTTACCAAATCACAATGCTTATTAAAACAAGCATGGGTTTGCTGGATCATATGGAAGGAAAACTAATCTGGACTGAACTCTGTGCCACTTAATTCAGGTTTCCCACACTGTGTATGCATCTCTGCCTGGGGTCTGGCTGTCTGTTTTTACGTTTTCAGTGTCTAGCAGAGTTAGTATTGGAATGGCATTGCCAGATGTCAAGGCCATAAAAAAGCTTGTCTGTATTTCCCAGTTAAGCACCTAAGCTTTTATTAGCTACCTTTGATGGAAGACATTTCATCCTGACTGATTACTGAGGTCCATTAAGTTAGTAATCAGTGTTGAGTACAGTTGATGTCACCCATAGCCGAAAGTCTGTCTGTGACTGTCAACTCTAATAGATGGTGCTGATAGGCTGTACTCTGCAATAACAGAATAGGTGTCAGCAGAAGTTTCTCTGTATGTTTTTTGTGGGGTCTCCCCCCTGCTTAACACTTGCATGGATGTGGGGTGAACCTCCTCCCTCTGTCCTCCCCATGTATGTTCCAAGTAGATCAGGGAAATTCCTGCATCACAGTTCTCAGTCTAAGTGTGAGAATTTTGTGTGCGCTGTGCATTTCGGTAAAAGGATGACTAGCAGTTAGAGGTAAAGTGAAACCTGTGCCACATCATTATACTATATTGCCAGTTCTGCTTATTAATCACTTACCCATCCCATCTTGGCTGGGTAGTCTACACACCTTACGTGTTAAATGTTCTGTGTTAACAGATGGAAAAAAAAAAATCGGCATTACAGAGCTGCAAGTGCTAGCTAATAATACACTGTTATATATGTTGCACTTGGCCATTTTTCTTTTGAAGTAACTAAAATTGGAGCAGACCTGTGCTTTCATTCGTAACACTGAACTTCATGTGCACTCAACCATGCCTGCTGTAAGTACTGCTGGTGCCTCCACAACCATTCATACCTTATGATGGAGGTTGCCGAAACATGGTGTTTGCCACCAACATATGGTACATCGACTTACAGCTCTCATAAACTGGCTTATGAAGTGCTGAACTGTAACTTCTGTTCCAGCTATAGGTTAGCTTTAAAGTTTCCAGTGGTTTTAGTTTTTTTTTTGCCATTTCTGTTTTATTAGTAAAACCTCCCAAAATATCCTTTCAGAAAAGCCATGATATCCTATCAACGCCCATAGATACTTAGTTTTCCACACATTTTACGTCCTCCTAGATTAACGTAAAATAATTTCTTTCCTATGTGGTAAATGTTAATCCAGTAACTCAGAAATCTGAGTTTCACGCTGTTTACAAGCTGTTGAAATTCTCTTGTGTAAGTTAAAATGAACATACACCTTGTTTATCATGTTTTACCTTTTTCTTTTAGTGAACAGAAGCTCTGTATGAATCATTCGTATGTTTTCATATGGGCTATAAGGCACTTTCAAGCTTAGAGCTAATAGTGCTAATAATTGTCAGTGTTTTTAAAGCACATGTGATCAAATATACAGAAGAACTATTCTGAAGTGGCATTTAGTGACACCTTTTATTGGCAGAGTTGTACCTGAGAATGATTTCTCTCGCAGATGTACCTTGTTTTTGACCATGGCTGTCCCAAATCATCATGGGTTATTAATGCGCTTATGTTACATAGATGGCAGGAGGAGCAGCAGTCTTCTAGGTCCACTGCAGGTAGAGTTGTTCCTTTCAGTATGTTGTCTGGACATCTATTTTCAATTGCTCTTATGTTTGCCAGATTTGAATAATTTGAAATGAAATTTTCTGTGCCTGGTATCTCAGGCAGCATTGTTCGGAAAAACAAAATGATTCAGCTATTTTGGAGTATGGGTGAGGGAAAACATGTGTTGTTATGCTCATACTGAAAATCTCTGTTGACCCACCTCTCCTTGTCCCATCTCCCCTGTTGTGTTATGTTGTTTTGTTTTCTTTAATTGCCCTGCATGCTGTCGGTGATCTCCGTGTTAATAACACGGCAGTGTAAACCCATTTGCAGTCTGACTCAAATAAAGGGACTCCAAAACCAGACTGCATATTTGGAAGCTAAGCTGGCTGGGGGGGAACCTAGACAGGCGCAATTGGGCGTGGGTAAGTAAACATTGAGCTTGGAGATGGGTGAGAAAGTACAAGACCAGCTGAGACTTGGGCTGGGAACCTGAAAGAGCAGAGTGAATGGAGCAAGACCAAGATGGGTAAGGATCTTGGGGAGATTTTTAATCATCAAGGGCAGAAGAGAAAGGAAATCAGATTACAGGGGAAATTGTGACTGACTGTATGAAAAGGAAGTCTCGCTTGGGTAGTGATGCTGGGGAGGAAGCCTTGGACTGGGGAGAGTGAGCTGGGGGGCCAGGGAGGCTGGGGCTATCACAAGGTGGACGTGTGGGCAATGCTCCCAGCCCTGCTAGTGGTCTG